TCCCTATACAAATAGATTATAGGTATTTGATATAAGTTTAAAAATGGCATATCCTTCATAAAGATCCACAGTCCGCCTGATATCTAGGATGTCGAAGACTATCAAAAGTCACAAGCCAAAACTTATAATGGTATTATCCTCATTACACTTATTATAATTATCCTTTATCCTTAGTACACGTATACTATCACAAGTGCTCGGTTCTGGGACACTTCTGATAGTTTTCACTTTAAAACTAATTTCTGATCTATATTTACATTGTTTTATTTTCTGTTCTTTGTTCACATGAGTAAAATAAAAATAATATTTGAAATAAAAAAATAAATAAATTAAAAATAATATTTAAAAAAAAATTATGATTGAAAAATTATATTTCATAATATTTAAATTAACATTATATTTTATTATTTGTTTTTATTAAATTATCAAGGTATTCTCTGAAATTTTCTCTTTTTATTTTAGTTGATTAAAGTCCCCAAGCTACAGTATCAATACTGTTTTCTAGAATATATCTTTTATCCTCATATGCACTAAGGGCTTTTTTATTTGGTTCAACAGTATAAATTTCATGTTTTTCTGTTCTAAAAGTGTTCCGCTTTACATATTTTGGATTTTTATTGTTTAAACAATTATAAAAATCAATAAAACATAATTCATTTTTAACTATAGGTTTTTTCACACATTTTGCTTTTTTAATTTCATTTTTAGTTTCAAATATTTTATAATTTAGATCTTAACCCAACAAACTCTGTCATTATTTGACCATTAAGTTCATCTTTAAATTTACCTGGAACTTTTTTATTTATTCGTGGTATTCCATATTTATTATTCTCTGGATAATCTGAAAAATCAAATTCATTTAAAAGTTGTTTATTGTTTTTTACATTTGTATAAAAATCATCAGTTGTAATTTCTACTATTAAAGAATCTGTATCTGTGTATAATAGTCTAATGTTTTTTCCATATGTCTTTTTTAATACATTATAATAAAAATCATACATTCGAGTTTTAGATAAATCTAAAATATAAATTCCTAAATAAATTAGTTGTTTTAGTTTAGCCATTTTTTTTTTCATATGTACAGCTACTAAGTTTTCTGTAAAAATAGTCGCTCGATCAAAATTTGGTTTAGCAGTTTAATTTTCTAATTTTTCTTCATCATTAATTAATTTTATATCTTTATGGTTTCTTGTGTTCATCATAGTCCTACCAAATACACTGTTGTTCATTAACTTGTAATAATATTTTTCAAATTCATTGTCTGTTTTTGCGCGAAAATTAGTGTTAATTAAATATATGGTCTTAACCAGTCTTTTTGTTCAAATTCTATTACTCTGTCTATTTTCTTTAATTTTAAACCTAAACTTAAATACAGCCTAAGATTACTATAATGTAGAATATATTTTTTCTTATCATATAGAGTTGTTGTTAATTTTGGTAATTCTTTATTATAAAAGACATTTTCAGGAGCCAAAGGATAATCCGAATGGAGATCATGAAGATCTTCAGGGTATATCAAATCTACTTCAAAAATATAATATTTTTTATGGTCTTCTTTCATTTTTAAAATTCTTTCTGTATCAAAGCAATCAGGATCAGACCATTTAGATCCTTTATATGGTAAATATTCACACATACCCCACCCATAGAGATTATTTGCATCCAAATTTAACAGATATTTCGGTGTTGTTTTTTCTGTTTGTTCTTTTTTATATTTTTCTCCAATATATTTATTATTTGTTTTAGAATAGCTAATACTACATTGAGATAATCCTCCTCTTATTCCTTGTTCAAACATTAAATATATATCAATATCTGTTATCGATTCTAATTCT